CGGGACTCGGGCACGGCCTCGCTGGCCCAGGTGCGGGCGCTGCTCCGCAAGCACGAGGCCTTCGAGTCGGACCTGGCGGCGCACCAGGACCGCGTGGAGCAGATCGCGGCCATCGCCCAGGAGCTCAAGTATGGGAACCCAAAACACCCCAAATTGAACCCCAAAATCACCCCCAAAGTGTGCCGGGGGGACCCCAAAGGCAGCTCCCAGCCATCATCCAGGACCTCAAATATGACACCCAAAACACCCCAAATTGAACCCCAAAATCACCCCCAAATTGTGCTGGGGGGGACCCCAAAAGCAGCTCCCAGCCATCATCCAGGAGCTCAAGTATGGAAACCCAAAACACCCCAAACTGAACCCCAAAATCACCCCCAAAGTGTCCTGAGGGAGACCCCAAAAGCAGCTCCAAGCCATCGCCCAGGATTTCAAGTATGGGAACCCAAAACACCCCAAACTGAACCCCAAAATCACCCCCAAAGTGTGCCGGGGGGACCCCAAAAGCAGCTCCCAGCCATCGCCCAGGAGCTCAAGTATGGGAACCCAAAACACCCCCAAAACACCCCAAATTGAACCCCAAAATCACCCCCAAAGTGTCCTGAGGGAGACCCCAAAAGCAGCTCTGAGCCATCACCCAGGAGCTCAAGTATGGGAACCCAAAACACCCCAAATTGAACCCCAAAATCGCCCCCAAAGTGTGCCGGGGGGACCCCAAAAGCAGCTCCGAGCCATCACCCAGGAGCTCAAGTATGGAAACCCAAAACACCCCAAACTGAACCCCAAAATCACCCCCAAAGTGTGCCGGGGGAGCCCAAAGGCAGCTCCGAGCCATCACCCAGGAGCTCAAGTATGGGAACCCAAAACACCCCAAATTGAACCCCAAAATCACCCCCAAAGTGTCCTGAGGGAGACCCCAAAAGCAGCTCCCAGCCATCTCCCAAATACAGGATGGGAGACCCCAAAATATCCCCAGAATAACCTGTGAGATGTCCCAAAACACACCCCAAAAAATACCAAATAAATAACCCAAACTATCCCAAAATACACCCAAAATGACCTGAAATATCCCCACGCTTTTCCCCCTTCCCACCTTTTCCCACTGTTTTCCCCTTTCCTTTCTTTTCTCCGTTCTCCCTTTTTCCCATGGCCTTTCCCTCTTTTCCCACTGTTTTTTTTCCCATTTTCCCCCCTGTTTTTCCCCATTTCCCCCCATTTTTCCTTATTCCCCC